TTTAATCTGGTGGAATTTCTTTGTTCACCAAGGATTCCATTCATGTATATATTTTTATTTTTGTAGAAATTATTTCCCATTAACACAGTCCCACATGTGACTGCAAATTGGGCATTATATTAAGTATTTCTTTGAATGACAATCTCCTAGGTTTGTAGCAAGGAAGAAGGAATGGCAAAGAATTGCTTGCAGATACTTGGATGTTTTGTATCTAAGAAAAAAAAATTGTAGAAAAAAGAAAATATAGAAACATATATAGAAAATAAAAATCACTTTTCCATGTCTTTCACTCATTAGCTTCTGAGCATGTTTATTTTCAATCTCCCTCATGAAATAGTTTAAGGCAGGTCACCTGGTGAGTGGATGGCTTTCCTCCTTGTGGTAACTTGGGGCCCAAGCTCCCTCCTTCTTGTGCCTCACATGGCCACCTCTAACTGCAATAGGGAAGGAAAGCTGTAGTCTAGCTGCGTGCCCAGAAAGGAGAGGAAAGAAGTTGTGTTTAGTTCAGAAGTATCTGCCATACGAAGTAAATATTCAGAGACCTTTTTAAGTCTGTTAGCCATTCAATTGCTGAGTAATACCACAATGTCTGGTTGCATTTTTAAATGGCCTTGGTGTTGGAAGATATTTGCCAGTCTACTTCTTTACTAAAGGCAACCACCATTTCAAAATCTTCTGATGATCTTCTATTACCTAAAACACAGTCTTGACATTGATCAAAGTCCACATTCCATACTCTATCCTGGTTCTGCTTCTCCTCTGTTTTCCTAACAGCTTTGCTGATATGTATGATCCTTTATAATAACTGTTTTGGACATCACTTTCTATCTTTTCTCCTTCCTTTCCCCTCCCTTTGCTTTTCCCATCTCATAGCACACAGGAATCTATTCCTGTGTCTTAGTGCTTGCAAATGTTTTTGTAATTCTCTTTTTTCACATCCTTTTCTTCTTAAACTGTGTTTTGTTAGAGGTAGAAACTCTTAATATTTTTTTTTTTTATTACCAGTTCCTGGCAATCTCTTAGGAAGAAAACGTTAAGAAAATTTTGAAGGAGTCCTCAGAAATCTATTACTTCATAACTCACCTGTGGATTATATAATGTTACTTTGTTTTTACTAAGGGGTCCAGATATTTCAAAGAACATACATATTAGTGATTAATATCAGTACTTGAATGTCTTTTTCTTAGAAGAAAAGACGAAAGGTTTTGTTTATATTTTTTCACAAGATCTGTCGAGCAGTGGCCCTCCAAGAGCAAGATGCAAATAATGGCATCTGAACCCTAAGGCCTTGCAGTGCCACAGAAATATGCCCCACTTGGCAAACCCCAATTTCATTCAGGGTTCTGCCACTTCTCAGCAGTGGTACCTCACACAGGGTCACTTACTTATCTTTTTGAGCCTCAATTTCCTCATCCTTAAAACAGGATCTCATACCATACATGGCTGCCATTTGTGCATTTGAGAGTGTATGCATTTGAAAGTAGGAACCTTGAAAAGGGACATGAACATGTGAGGAAGTATCATGCCACAGAGAATATTTTGCTGCTACTACTCACACTTTGGCTCTTGACGGAATATAGAAGAAAATAATGCACATCATCCCTTTCCAGTGCCCCACCACAATTTTCAAGTGTGCTTTATTGCTTATCCACGACACTAAAAGTTGTTTACTAATCGATAAGCTGGCAGAGTTGTTCATTTTCTTAGGATACGATAGTCCTGAGCACAACTAGAGGAGAGAAATTGGAGGGGAGTCTGTTTATCCAAATGAGGCAAAGACTAGATTACTCCTGTCAGGATTGAATACTGAAAGGCCTAGGCCATCTTTCTTGCTGTGAGAAACAACTCTTGTACAAGACAAGACCTTGTATTTTTCCCAGTATTTATCCCCAGGTGGTAAGGATTAAGCACTAGGTAATGGAGGAAGGGAGTCCAATAGACACATAAAGTTCAAAAGCACTAAGAAATGATCTTTTGAGGCCTTTCCTCACAGAAATATCAGTAATCCATGATTAATATTACAGGTGGTCTCTAGCCTCCCCTGGGTCTACTTAGAATTTCTCTACTTTTTGTGGTGTAAAGGTGGTATGTGTTCAGTAGAAACCAAATTCATATTTGGAATTTTGATCTTTTTCTGGGCTGCTGATAAGCAGTGGGATGCTCTCTGAAGATGCCAGGCAAAGGTGACAAGCTACAGCTCCCACTCAGCCACTGGTCACGGGGTTAAATGCCGGCACTCTGCAGCTCCCTGTGAGGCTGAGCTGTGAGACTGAGCTGTGAGGCTCAGTTAGCTACATTAAAGGCATCTTTGACTTTCGGTGTTTTCAACTTACAGCGGATTTTTCAGCACATTCCCCCATCATAATTCAGAATGGCATCTGTATACCAAAGTAGAATCTAAAAAATAAAAAGTCTTTTCAAGTTTATTATTTCAGAAAACGTACAGCAAAGAAATAAGGAGAGATATTCCAAGAATCAAAGGAATGGCGCATTTTTCTTTTTAATCTGTAAAACACTGACAAAGAAAATACTTTAAATTTGACTTCCACTTGAAATGTATGTACTAAGGGGTACAGTCTGAATTTCTGGCTTAGATTTATAGATGACATGTTCACTTTCCTGTTACTATTGAAAGACAATGACATATGTCTTTGACAATAATATATTGTGTCCATTCCTTGTGGGTCTCCCCTATGTCTGGAAGCAGAAATTATGAGGTGCTCTGTAATAATTGTTGACTTAATTAAAATAGTCAGCACCATTGTTATTAGAGGTAAGATTTTGTACTTTGCTAGAATTGTTCTATAGGAAGCAGTGTTTGATTAGGGGTGGGGGAGGGGGGAGCCATGGCATTTTGATAGAGATAACACCATATTTGGGGTTGCAGTTCTCCCTTTATTGCAAGCCTGGTCACTGGTCACTTTCATGTCCAAGTTTTCAGTTTTGCTTCCTGAACTGGGATAATGCCCTCTCAGAGACAGGTTGGAAGATTCAAGGAGTGCCTCTTCATTGCAACAATCTAAAAGTAGCTAAGCCCTCTATTGCATGAGATGCAGGCTATCCCAGTCTATTTCTCACAAACACTGTGGGGTGCATTGGCAAACTCTTTGCACAGAAGGGAACCTGAAGTTATATGAGATTCATAAGACTACCTAAGGACTCCAAGTTGTGTTATAGCCAAGTCTCTCTCCAGCTATAATAAGCCATGTAATATACCCTTTACTCTGTCTGACTGCAAATTCCCGTCTGGATGTGGTCTCAGAGCCCTACTATTCACTCTACACCCAGGACAGAACTTTCTATATTTGATTATATCATCCCTCTAATAAAAACCCTTATCAGAGTTTCTTCTGTTCTGGATGTTCCTGAGAACATCCAGATACATTCCTTGTAGTTTGTGAACTACTTAAAGTCTTAAGCAAATTCTCTGTGTTTTCATAAATACCATGTTTTTTTTTTTTTGCCAAAAGAGGAATAGCTCAGCAGATTTTGAGAGTTGTACCTGGTGTCACCTGTGGGCTCACAGTCCTTGAGAAGCTCTAAACACCTCAAGTGTGCCAAGGCAGCAGTGAGCCCCCACTTCCTCTCTTCCCGCCCTTCAGACTGAAACACTGAACCACTTGTACTTCTTTGTACTCACAGGTTGCTTGTAACTCTGACCCTTTGCTAGTCAGAATTCCCCACTTGACCTGGGTTGGGAGCATTTTGCATGATTTTGGTGGTATCCGGCAAATCTTATCACTTCAAGCCATCATGGTAATAAAACAAAAGTTCTACTTCATGAAATGCAAAAGTAGAACTACATACTGTAAAATAAATAAATATAGAAATTAAAACTCCCCTAGAATTTCACACCGGGGGTTGGGGGAACCTTTAACAATATGCCCTTTCCGATTTTTTTCATGTCTTTGTATAGATCTGTAATTAGACAAATTATACTCACTTTACAAAAATGGCGTTTCACTTAGCCATCCTATTATGCAATTGAATTTGCTAAGACTCATGCTGTTGTCATCTTCATAGGTTTGTACATAGAAATTTGTATCTAAAATGATCCTTTATGTGATCCATTTAATGGTTAGTTACATTGTTACTTTTTGTTCCTCTCAAATATAGCTCCTGTCATCAGTCTTGGTCATATAATTTTATATACTTATCTGAGTATTTCTAAATAATTTTCCTAGAAGTAGATAGCACATGCAGAATTTAAAGTTTATTAATACTGGAAAGTCACTCATCCAATGTTCATATCTATGTATATGCCCAACAATGTACTCTGCTTCTTATAATTAGTCATGTGTGCTGTTTCTCCCTCCCTCTTGAGTCCAATCATCTCCAGGCAAGCACTGTGCCTACTCTATCTTGGAAATTCCCTACTGCTTGCAGATGTTACACAAAATAGACATTGTAAGAATAAGTGATTAAACAAATAAGCAAAAGAATAAATGTGCGGGTTAAAGAAGTCAGTAGCCCAAATACTAACTGTATTGGGCAGGTAATATTTGCATTTCAGAGGAGCCTAGATCTGCCAAAGAATCAAGATCAAGCCTAGATCAAGTCAAAGAATGAGTCTGGGGAATGGTCCCTTGTGCTGATGTTACCATAAATAGCTCTGTCTTGTTCTTTTGGGGACTCAATTTCCTATCTCACTATGAGGAAATTGATATGATTCTTCAGATCACCTAGTTGTATTTTTTTTGTTACCTGATGCAGGCCAGAGTTTCTTTACATTTTTCCAGTCTCCAATCCAAATTTTCCAATAGTAAAATAAAATTCCAGGGCAATGTTGGGCCCAGCATTCTCTATACATTTCAAGAAATGGAAAATTATTATAGCGAAAAGGCCATAAACAGTGAACATTCTCACATATGTTGAATAAGAATGTCTTACTTAGACATCACACAAATAATTAATACCCTAAGTCTCCAAACAAGCAAAGCTAATTACCTTGGTTGATTCTAGACTTCACCTAAAGGGGCTGTATCCTTTCTGCCTTTCAGGGTGGACACACAGGGTCTATGGGGCCTCCATCTATGCCTCCTTCATTCYGCCCAGAAGATGAGCTCGAGCACCTAACCAAAAAGATGCTATATGACATGGAAAATCCACCTTCGGATGAATACTTTGGTGAGTGGGGTTTAGCGCTGACTTCTAAAGTAAATGTCCTATTCTACTTTTCTTACTAAATAGTGTCATCATCTCTGCTGATAAAGTATTTGAGTCTGGATGCATGAGAGTTGATGTGCACGCACACATCACTGAGTAATTGTGAGGATTGTGTTAGATACTATCATAAATGGGAAACTACTTAATTTGAACTATAATTGCCTTGGTTCTCAGTTTCTTGAGACACACTTTATTTCTTTATTGATGCCAGTGCTAGGAATCTAACTCAGGGTCTTGTGCCTGCTAGACAAGCACTCTACCATTGAGCTACATCCATAGCCCATAAATATGATTTTAAGATTTAACTTTTGACCATTTGTTAGCTATCCATTAGGGAAAACAAATCAGATTTCTGTGTACATTCAAGTTTCTCACTGTTCTAAGAGTCATGTATAGAATATGGAACTGAATGTGATCTCAACTCCATACTCTCAAATCTTTTCCTTGTCCAAATTTAGGTGACGATGTTCCCTTTGTATTTTTAACTTCCTCCTTCCTTAAAACTGCAAATAACTAAGAATAGTTAATTCTTCCAGTCCATTAGTAGAATACAAAATTATGAATTATATGCCAATTACAAGGTACCATGAACACATAATTTGTCAGAGTGGTTGTAATGGTTCAAAAGCATTAAGACAAACACGCAGATAATTACTAGTCTAGTTAAGAAGTGGTAATAGCCATAAGAAGGCCAAGGTCAGATGTTACAAATTTTAAAAGCTCAATCAGGAACATCAGGAATGTTTTAAAAAAGAATTGGTGGCACTTGAACCTGGACCTTTCAAACCAATGTCTCTCAAATTTTCTATGGTAAAGACTATTTTCATTCTCATCTATTGAGACCAATGTTTTTGCAGCATATAATTAAAATTAATTACTAGGAAAATAAATTAAAAATATAAAATACCAAAAAATACAGTGTGAAAAACCAAATTTTATTAAATTTGAGAGATTAAAAAAAATTACGCAAGCTGTTATAGGAGGTTTTAGACACTCATTCTCTGTTTCTTCGCTTGTCTCACCCCAGGATGACAAACATTTCTTAGTCAAACACCCATCTGAGGACCACTTTTTGAGTAGTTGCTTTAAGGACATGTGGAGAAAGACCATTTAGGGTGCAATTTGAGTAAAGGCTCAAAGGTGGGAAAATTGCACAGGGCTTTTGCTTCTTCAAATATTTCCTATTTTCCTGTCTTCCCCCTTGCTTCCTATTTGGGAATATGTAATGAAAGGTAAACTAAGGGCACTGACCCAAAGCCGCATAGTGAATGGAGTGGGAGGAACTGGGATGTGAAAAACATGGCCTTTATATGTATGCAGGTGGCAGTGTAGCTTAGCCAAAGAGCACATGAGTGGGAATACAGAAGTCTGCTTCTAGTCCCTCTGTGCCCATGGCTGGCTAAGCACTATGAGCCTTCCCCTCATCTGCTGGAACCCCATTTCCCACCTTGGTAAGTCAAACATGTACAGCAAATATTCTCTAGCTTTTCTTTCAAAACTAGTAAATTCACTAGAGAATCAGTTATGAATCCAAAGAAGCATAGCAATAAAGATGAACATTAGTTGATGGAGATTGGCACAAATGCATGGATAAGAGTAAAGCACAACAAAAAGCCAAAGGAGGTCTCCAGTTATATGAAAATATACTAAAAGTCTATCATGCTCTTGTCATTACAGTGGGAGGAAGGTATATAAACTTTAAAAAAAGCAAAGCATGTTAAAAATGAAAAATAAGGTCTCTGAATTTGAATAGATTAAGAATGAAAAACTGACTTCCACGTGTATATGCTTCAAATATCATAGCAACAAAATAAATAGCAATGAAGAAAACTGAACATGGACAGTGACTGTATTAATGAAGACTTGTTGAACATTCTGGGTAACAGATAAAAATTACTACCTCTGTGTTCAGGAACTGTCATAGCTCTACTATGTACTATCTTAGAAAACTTGAGCAAATTATTTACTCTCTAAACATTTATTTTTGTTTTATCTATAATATGGAAATAATGTCTATCTTATACTGTTATTGTGAGTAATGAATGAAATATTTATAGAAAGCACTTAGCCAACTTCTTGGCATGTAGAATATGCTCAGTAGTCAAAGTTCTCCAATGCTCTTGAGGCTTGCAGTTTATTTAAGAAAATAAGATATGCCCATTAAAAACCCATCAATAATACTTGATTTAAATTTAAGTTCTTAGCAATAGTAGAACATGTGTCACTAACTGGTAAATAATCATTGCCAARTGGAGATTACTAACCATGAGGGAAATTTTTTAAAAAAGAAAGATGGCTAACTTTTATTGAGTATTTATGATATAGCAGCACTATTTTATGTACTTCACAGAAATTAACTTTATTTCATCCTTACAGAAAAACAACCCTGAGAAGTAGATGCTGTTATCATTTCCAGATTAGAAAATTAAGGTGCAGAAATATTAAGTATTTTGCAGCTAATAGTTGAAGCAGGACTCTATTAGATTCCAGGCTCAAGGCCTACATCTTTAAAATAGACAGTATAGGAGAAGGGGAGAGTTAGCCAAGCTGCACATTTAAAAAAGAGTTTATGAAGCCAGATGCCATGGCACATGTGACTCAGGAAGCTGAGGCAGGAGGATCACAAGTTCAGAGCCTGCCTCAGCAATTTATGGAGGCCCTAGCAGCTTAGTGATACCCTGTCTCAAAATAAAAAATAAAAAAGGGGTGGAGATGTGGCTCAGTGGTTAAGCACCCATGGGTTCAGTCCCCAGTACCAAAAAAGAAAAAGGTTTATGAGGAGCCTAGCTTCAGATAGATGGAAAGAAAATAAGGGGTAGATACTCTCTTCTAAGAACACAAAATAAACAAAATATAATTTGAGTCAGGTTTGATGAAGGAGAATGTACTTTTGTGGAAAACATCCAAAGACATACACCCTCCAGGGTAATGCTGGGAGCAGACATCAGTCTTAACCTTTAAAATGTGTTTAGATAATTCACAATAGCCAAACTATGGAGCCAGCCTAGGTGTCCATCAACAGATGAATGGATAAAGGAAAGGTGGTATATATATACAATAGAATTTCTCTCAGCCATGAAGAAAAATGAAATTATGTCAGTTGCAGGAAAATGAGTAGAACCTAGAGATCATCATGTTAAGTGAAGTAAGTCGGACTTACTGACCAAGGGTAATATGTTTTCTCTCACATTTAGAAACTAAAGAGAAAAAAAGGAAAAGAAAGGCAGGTCTTGATCTCATAAAAACCAAAGGGAGATCAGTAGCTGAAAGGGACCAAGAGGTGGGAGGTGGGAAGGAAAGGGGAAGTACTGAGAGTGATATTGGCCAAATTRTATTGTTCTATTGTACACATGTATGAACAACAACAAATTCGATCATTATAAACAAGTATAGTGCATCAACAACAACAAAAAAGTGGAAAAAATTTTAAAATAAAATAAAAAGTACTTAGAGCCTAATAGGATCTGTGCAGAGTTGTGGTGTTTTATTATAACACAAGACAGAAAATGACAGGTGATTCAATTAAAATGCAGCCAATGTTGTTGGAGGATTCAGAAAAAGAAGAGGAAACATCCAGAAGCAGGAGTGGAAAGGTGTTTATGAAGTTGTTAGCCTCTGAGTCTAACAACTCAGTCTTTAAAATCAAGCAAGTCTTTAGAATTAAGCTAGAAAGTAGGAGGATAGGAGAGAAGTAAACTCATTTTTGATGAGAGGAATTTTGAATACCAAGGAAGAAAACCACTGGAGTGAAATGCCCATGTGGGAAGTAGCAAATTTTGAGGGAAAACATTGGTGAAATAGATCAGGACCGATCTGTAAAAGGCTTTCAAACCCTGGCTGAAGGCTAAGGACTTTATAGTCTATAACAAGTCGTTGCATATTGCTGAGATGCATACCAGGGGGTCTGTCCCATCCATAGTGGTTAAGACCATGGACTCCCAGCCAGAGTGCCTGAGTGGAATACCCACTGTACTTTTACTGGCAACTTAAAGTCTGGAGGCAAAGGACATTTTAGCAGAACCATTATTTACTGTTCCACTCTTTAAATGCTTCCCATAAAATGTCTCTGTGCCTACCACTTTGCTAGGCCATAGTGCAACACACACGCAGAAGCCGTTCCCTCAGGGGCCTCACAGGCTCCTGGGACAGGTGGGAAAGACTCACAAAGATGGGACTTCAGTGTGGATGTCAGCTCTGTGTTGAGTGTGACTTAGGGTGCCACATAGGGATGGAAGAGATGTTCTCTATGTCTGATACATCTGTCTGAAGACAAGAGAAAGAAGATTACTTAGCATTGTGTTGGGTCAGGAGGACTTGACCCAACAGACATGGATAAACTCCTCCTTTGCTCTCTATCTGAATTTCACATTAGGCCTATTTTGGGCTGAAAATAGCATTGCCAACCAAATACCACCCTTTAAAAAAAAAAAAAAAAAGCTTCTCCCTCATCTCCCTCACAATACCATCCCAACCCCAACCAAGTCCCATTGCCTATTTTTTTAATCCATCATTTTTATTTAATACTGGAGTTTTCATTGAAACAGGAGCTGATTTGTTGAAGCTTGTTGGGTGCTTTCAGGTCAAAGATCTCTAGCTAGACTACTATATAGTAGCTAGATCTATCTATCTCTACACTAGCTGCTTCAGGGAGTCAGTGGGAATTACTTATAAGTGGTGTCAGTAGAGTAGGCTCCCTCTGGTCATGTCCGTTACTTTCTGTGGCACTGTTTTTTTCCCCCGTAAGTGGAATGATTCATAAATATATTGCTATTTTTTTCCTTAGGGAGCCTCTTATTACTTGTAATCATTTTTACTTGTATTTGAAGAATATTATAATTATGGTATGATTAATAGAATTGGGAGGGGTTTCAAAAAAATCACCTCACAGATGATTTCAGTACATAAGAGAAAAGTACCTTTACAGTGGAGAGGGCTACTGGAAACTATCTAAATCCAAGTGA